ACGTCACGCGCTCACGATTTTTCTTAGCAGCGGAATACTACATGGAAAGAGAAAAAAAAATGGTTTTGCTGAAGGATTAAAAAATTTAGTTAGATAACAGATCTGAATAGAATTTTGTCGAACTATTAAAATAATTATGAATAGAATATCTTAAATTGAATTGCTAGAATGTCAATACTTTTTGCAGCATTGCACATTGCTTAAGTTTCCTACGTAATTATTTGGATGTGCCAACCTGGCTAAATTTTTAAATACTTCAGCAAAATCATTCTTTCCATTTAATAATTTATGAAGCGATTGCTTCGAGCGACTACTTAAACTATTTTTGCAGCAAGTTTTTTGAACGAGGTGAGAATTTTTCGAGGAAATTGAAATTCTTAGTGTCGATTTAAACGAAGCTGATTCGCACATCGGATAGTCATTTTGCGCAAAGTGAATTGGCAATTTAGTAAATGCAACTTCCTCCCGACGCATCGATGAATGCGATAATGTTTTTTGCGTATGCCACGCATTTTGATTTTTGTGTTTGATTCTCTTGGTTGCGATTTGCGATTATGATACAAGATCACCTTCTTTTTATTGGTTACACCTTCGCATTGTTTCTTAACCCAATTAAAAGAGGTATAAAATTTTGCTATTTAAATCAAAGTAAAATAAAATATTTATATAAATAAAATATTAGTTACTAGAGTAATGTTACGTAAGAAATTGTAATGCCATGCAAATGAAATTATTACTTGAGGCAAAATATCCGGATCCATTTTTGCTTTATGACCTTCGGTAACGCGAGCAAACATGTTTTTCTGTCGGCGGCTGGACATACTTAATACAAAAAAGAACCTGTTATCAATCTCTTGCAATTTTACAACGACTGTGTTAAGTGCAATTAAACACATACACGATATCTAAGTCTTTTATTAAGATCAAAATTTCATATCGCTCGTATTCGTTTAGCAAACAGTTCTCGTTAAAAAAGTCATATAAATAACAAACATTTTAAAAAGATAATATTGCTGTTATGTTATTTACCCGAGAAGAAGTTTTGATAAAATATCTCAAAATTTAACTAAACACAGATCTGAAAATAATTTTGTTAGATCATGAAAATAATTATGTAGAATATTCAAGCTAGAGTGTCAAAACTTTCCGCAGTATTGCTCATTACGCTTGAGTATCCTTTGCAATTATTTTGATAATCTGACAAATCTATTTTCTTTATCTAGCTAAATTTTTAGATAGTTCAACAAAATCGTTTCTTTCCCATGTTTTTTCCATACAGGCAAAAATCTATATTTTAAATACTTAAAAAGTCGCCATACGATAAGACATGCAAAGAAATATGTACTATATCTTGATAAGAACATTATTTTGACAGTACAATCGAATAGAAAATTACATAAGTTTGTACAATCTATTGTCTAATTACAAAGAAAACTAATTTCGTGCTCCGGTTTTTGGGAAAGCTTCTCAATTAAGCGAAGGGACAATCTTAAAGGGGATCAGCTCGTTCGTTGTTCTCGCAGATAGCGACCTTTTGACTCGGTCGAGTACGCGCTATTGTTGACGGAAAGTCGTCGTTGAAGGGAGTTGCTTTGACTCGACGTTCAGTACGGTACTCAATGGAGCACAGTCGTTCTAATATTGCTGTTGCTGCTGCTGCTGCTGCTGCTACTGCTGCCGCCGCCGATGTACGCGCTGATAAAGCCAAATGATAACGAGATGCAGCCTGGCACACTGCTGCATTACCTCACCGCGTACCCAAGTGCAATGCTACGAACTATCACTTTTCTCGCGCAATAAGACCACGCGCTTGGATACGTGCCGTAACAATTGTGAAACCTATTGTGGAGCGTGGTGTATGAAACCGCAGTCATTACAACGCCTACGTTAAGCGCGTGGATACGTGTTGCACGGCGAGAAGGGGTTCTTGTAGAGAGCGACCGCCGCGATTCACTGTTAGGCTATGTTATTATAGAAATTATGTTATGGGCCATTATTCGATGTTGACTGCTAAACACGCGGGTTTATTTCACTATTTGCGTAATTGAAATTTTTACGAAAGATGTCTTGACTCTCTAATCTTCGTTTTATCGGCTTATATCTTTATATATACATATATATTTTCTTAACTTATATATCTATATCGCCTGTTTGATAGAAAAGTGGCGCAACTCAAAAATTAGTATTTCTAAAATAATACGAAATCAATTTTGAAGTATTCTTTGTGGAAGAAACGGTACATTGTAACAAAAAAATGTCGTTTAATTATATTCTAATCAAATTCGTAATGATTGTTTATAGAAAAAAGACATTTTTTTCAATTAGATAACGTGAAGGAGTCTTGTCGAAATAGTCATAAAAAAGTCTTGTTTGAAATATGCCATTTTTCCTTGACCTTTAAGTAGATAAGCGGAGATATCCTAAATATCCTAAATAAATTTTATTTTTATAGTTATATTTTTTAATAGTATAGAATTAAATTTACAATTATTTATACTCTTATAAGATAAATATATAAAAATAATTAATTTTAAGACTTCCAGGCAACTCTTTCTATTTTCCTTTTCTAGAACAAGGTTCTTAAGATAACTATGCGTAGAGTGCTGTAGCCACCTATCTACTTAAAGGTTAAATGTGGTTCTTTAAAACGTTCTAATTGTTTCCAATTCAGAATTTAAAATGCTCTTCTGAAAAGTTGCTATAAACTTTGGGATATATTACTTTTTATCAAACAAGCGACTTATTTAATATTGTAGAAAGTTATATAATCATTTTTGAAAATACGATTTGAAAATATAGTTGACTAAGTTTACTCTAATTAAAGTTTAAACTAATTTAGTTCTATTTTTAATCCTTAGATAATTTAATAGGTTAATAAAGTAATTCAGGTTAATGAAAATTTGGAATTCTACGTGATTTCAATGTAAACGCGTTTAAAGTGGCGGCAATCAATCTGTCGAGGAACATCAAAAGCGAAGGTATCTTAGCTCGAGATGTTCAATTCGCGTGTTTAAATAGTCGACGCGCATAAACAATAGAGATCAACGGCCGTGGGGGAACCGTCCGCCTGGTTCTTAATGAAGTGCCTGGCTCTTTCATCATCCCTGCTGCGGTTGTAGATAATGCACGACGAACGGAACGCAAATACACAACTCGACTCGCGAGCGATCGAGACGAGCGTCCTTGTATAGTGATTCCTTCGTGGAGGTTTCGCCAGCAGAACTGAGCTCTCTGATAAGATTAATATATCTCTATGCTACAGGTACGAAAGCCGTGGTAAGGGCCCCCCGCACACGAATTTCCGTGCCGTAACCGTAAGCATAAGACGTAACGTAAGAATTAACCAATGGATGAGTGTATAGAACAATTGAACCAATCGTAAGCGTTCGTAGTTTCTGACAATGAGACGTAAACTTAAGCCGATAAGCCAATCAAAATATTATTTTAAAAGGAAATAATATTATAGTTACCCCGGTTGTGCAGGAAATTTGAGAAGAATATAAATGAGAGAAGAAAGAACAAAAATTAAGATAAATAAGTAATATATAAAATTTAAAAATTTAGTATTAATATATGTATTTTATTTTATTTATTTTTAAAACAAATTATTATGAAAGATTCTCTCGAAAATGAAAGTGAGATTATTTGCTACATATTTACAAAAGAATATGTATATTATTAATTTTGTATGTTTTCATTTTGTGTGTAGTCCATATAAAATATTAAAAGGTAATAAGTTTCTATTGGAGTATTATAAAGATATTTATATATTTTTATTTTAACACTTATTATTTGCTATTATTTGCTCAAGTCAATTCGCTAATAATGTTTCAGTGAATCTTATGCAATATTATAAAGATTAATCTTTTATAATATATTGACATGTTATTCTGTATATATAATAATATTATTAATAAAATACAATTTATAAAAATATACATGTAATATTATAGATTTTTAAATGTTTTTTTTTAATTGCAGCAACTTCTCTACATTATACAAGCATTATTTGGACAAGATGCAAATTTTGTTATAATATGATTCATTTCTTTCAAGTTTTTTGTTTTTTAATAAAGTTATTAGAAAATAACTTATTAGAAATTAAGAAATAAAATATTTAGCTACTGGGGATCAGATACTATCCATAGCACTAACAGACTATTGGAGAATCGACAGCACGTGCTAATATAAAAGAAATAACTGAAGCCATTTCGAGTGTTTTACTTTCTAAAGTATTACAGTCACTATCTGAAGCAGATTATATACGAATTAGTGCAGGATTTTTTGAAAAGTGGAATTTTTCAAATTGTTCGGGTTCATTTGACGGCAAACATTGCGTGTTATTCAAGCTTTTTCACAATCTGGCAGTTTATACCACAATTATAAGAAAACATTTAGTTTAGTATTAATGGCTGCTTGTGATTCAAATTATAAATTCACCTTAGCCAATATTGGCTCGTATGGAAGTTAAAATGATGCAGGTATATTTTATGAATCTGAATTCAGAAATATGATTGCGTTTCAAAATCGAGAAAGATTTCGGCGTAGGGTTTGAAGAATTATATATGTATAATGTATATAAACTTACACAGAAATATTTTAACACTAAGATCCGATTTTACCGAATATAGAATTTTCTCTTATTTAATCAAATTTATTCTTATCGATTCAAATTCATATCAGAAAAATCAATATTAAATTTTAAATAATTGTATTATATAAAAATTCGTTTTTAATTTTTACGTAGTTACTTCTTCGTAGCACATGGCTATTTAAAAAACTATATTAAAAACTTATATATATATATTCTATATATATTCTATA